TCTGTTAAATTTGAATCACAATCATTAAGGGATGCAGATCGAAGGAGGGTTGATAAATGTACAACTATTGGGTTCAAATGAGAAATTCTATTTATTTTTTCAAGTTCAAAATGTACTTACTTCTCATAAAATACGTCTAAGTCATATCCATCTGAACTACACAATGGGTATTGCACAATAATATTACCGTATTGGTAGGTATACAGTTAAAATCTAGTTATATTAGTTCACTACCACGAAAGGCAAATAAACGTTCGTATTTACTATTAAATATAAAGTGAGCAAAGTTTTAATATTGAAGTATATGAGAAACCGAAGTTTCTTTAGACTCAATTTGTAGTTACTGAGAACTAGTTGGCAGCTGAGTATCGCACTGGAGTATCTAAGGTAAAACGTATAGGTATAAAGCGAAAAATCTACTTATTTGTAATAATCGTTTGATCTCGTTTTGAAATGTTTCACTGACCAACTTGTACGACACCTAATCTATATTGTTTATATTGATAAGTATTTAACTAAAGCACAATAGTGCAATTGTGGCAATGCAGCTAGTAATAGTCATTTAGTAATACATACTTATACAGTTATACTTTTATTAATTATTTTTTTCTGGTTTATAAAAACATTTTTTTATTAGTTCTTCAAACTATTTGTACATTTTATTAATAAATAAACAACACCCATTTATTTTTATTTTTAATATACAAAATTATAATAATTATTATCACAAAAATGTGATTGTGATGAATATACTTACAAATACTTCATTACTATACGAATGATTTCAGCAATGACTGAACAAATTTACATTACATTTTTAATGATATATATTACAAAAGTAAAAATACTCATTATAATAAAGCTTTCTAAATTCTCACAAGGTCTCAAAAAAATAAAATAAAAAATAATGAAACGTAAAATAAATATTGTTATAATTTATAAGGTTAACCTATATATAAAGAGGCATTAAAATAAGACCACCGTGAAATCGTATTTTATACTTTAAAGAATAAATGATCAAATGAAAACTCGTTGGTCAACTCAAGAAAGATTTTCAGTTCACTGAATATAAATAAATAGATATAAGATTATGCTCAAGTATGAATATCTTTCTATAGGTACTATTATACCCTTGCCTAGAGCAATGAAAAAAAAACCATTTGTCCTACACAGACCACTGCAAACAACAGCAATGTGCAAAAAATAGGTATTTGAAGTTTGGACCTTATAAATTATAATATATGATGGCAAGATTGCATGATGCTAGAATATAATAGCCAAATTCAATCTTGTAACAATGCATCTATAAGATTTATCACCTTTTGCTACAGAGTATAATCATGTCATTGTGCATTGGGTTGAACGGATGTATAATATAAAAAATAGTAATATTTGAGACTAAAATCACCTATACATTTTCAAAAAAAAAATAATCAGCACATTTTTAAATACCCATGTTTAACAATGAAAATTACACTATATCAGCTTTTATGACATTATAGGTGAAGTTCTATACTTTTGTAGGTAGAATGTTTTTATATTTCATCAATTCATATATTCAGATCTATTTAGCCATATTTTTTCCCTGAAAGAGAAAGAGTGTTAACGACGGCAACAACAATAATAATTGTTTTTGTACATTATATCGAGTATTTGTATCATTGATATAATTTTGGCCAATTGGTCAAAACTGGATAAACCAGACACACATAAATATGAACACTCATATTTATTTAAATGCATTAGGTACAAATAATAAATATATACTGATGGTAATGTCTGAAACAAAAAAATAGCCTCAGTTGTGTAGAGAAGAGAAAAAGAATGAAAACAAGAATAATTTTATTATTAAGCTTCCAGAAATAAAGGGGTTTTTCAAAAAAAAATTGTATGTGCTTTAAAAATACTAAACGGTTTGCTTTTTAAAGTAATAACAGTGTACAAACTATTGAATTAATAAATTATTCAAAAAAGTAACATTTTAATATTTTACTTTAAGTTTAATGAGAGTTATTTTATTGATAAATTGCACATACTACGTATTTTAATAAATTAATCAATTACTTATTAACTTATTACTGATTACCAATATTTGGATACTCAAACAGGGATATGAACAAGCTATATTTTTTTTTCTATTGTTCGGGCCTCACAATTAATCATCAGCACATGGCTCCATAAGGCGTAGAATCTAGAATCTAGATGACTTAATTGTTGCTTGTATTGAAGTCTAGAAGATAAATATAACATTAAGCTATACTTTATTCATAAAGAGGTAGGAATTTATTTTTATAATTTGATTCTCATATTATTTAGACCACTTTTGTTTCATAAAATTATCACGAATACTGCGAACGTTAAAAATAGAAAAAATACACTATAAGTACATAATTTTTTAAAAATAATTCTTAAATGCAGTAAGACGATTGAGACAGTCATAATCCACTAGTAGTAATAAGTTTAAAGTATACGTATATACGTTTTTTGTTTGTATTTATTACAACATTACCTACATTTTATTATTAGTCTCGTACTCTATATAGTTGGACCAACCGTTGCTCGGCACAATCGATTTACAAAAAGAAATTAAATAAATTATTCACAATTGTATTTATTTATATATAAGCAGTATTTATGATAAAAATATATTAGTTGAACATTATTTAGATAAATACGATAAATAAATAGTATAAGTACCTATAATATTACCTCCCTTATCTAGCAAAATGTATTAACTCATGTTTTCCAACCATTGCTTTCAATGCATTTATTTATATTTTAAGATGTACAAATTGTTCTGTGATTCCACCAAAAGCGCTTTTTTTAAAGTTTGAAGTATAAAAATAAAGTACCTACATAACAGCACTCAAGAACATTTAGCTGCACTCTATATTCGCCCCTAAAAACGTAGTTTTACAGTTATAATATTAATAACCATATTATCTGCATCTAAGCATTTATTATTAAGTAAAAGCAAAAAAATGATTCAAATTGTATACCCATAATGTTAAGTATAATACCTATAATTATTTGTATATACCTTTTATATTACAGGTACCTATCACTATATTATTCATAGTATCTACTATTAGTATCAATATTTATTTATATAAGTCTATACCTATTTAAATTGTTCATAAATTAACTATATGACTATGAAGTGTGGTATATGTGTATACTGTATAGACTTGAATAGAATTTATTAGAATTTTTATCATACATTAGTATAACATGGACACAAGTGACTGATTTATGGAACTGCAAGTCGGCGAACTATACGATCTCGCGAGGTGACATATTTCGGGGTGCAACACACTTTTATTGGATAATTATTTTCATTTTTTTTAAATGTATGAACGAACAACTAAATTTTCGTTCCCAACAAATAACATTGTTTTTTTTTTTTTTGAAAATCCAATGATCCATCCTTACTACTGCATGTAATTTAGGAACATAATATGAAAGTTCCATACTCATATACTATGATAATATTATGTTGCAAGAATGTCCGATTTTATTGGCCATTAACCATAGAATATGACATCTAATTGATCATATTTATCTAACTATATGAACGATTACTATAACATTACAAATTTACAATTACTTACTTATACCTATGATGTTTAAATGTTTGTCTGATGTTATTTTTAGATAAAAACATGATTTAAATTTTTAAATCATAAAAATAAAATGTACGTGCATATTTTTAAAAATTTTTTTAAATTGAATTTAAATGAAACGATGAGTAAGTATTTAAATAAATTCAAAATATTGGGAAAATATTTGTACGCTTAGTTATTTTGATGTACAGAAGTATGATTTGTTTAGTGTAGTAGTGGCAAATTAAATTATTAATTTAAATTAAGGTTAAACTGCTCAAAGTCCAAAGGTTATCCTATCTAGATCCAAATCTTAAGCCATATTCCCACTTGCCAAATATTCATAACTTATGTACACTTCCCATGTCTTAGGAACGGTCCACTTATAAAATTAGTTGTCAAATATTATACATTATATTGCCATCTTAGGTATCTAACTATCTAAGTATTTGTCGGTATAGCCGTTTAGATTACATATGAAGGTATAGTGTTATAGTTCGATTATTTCACATTCATCAGTTTAAGTAATTGGTATACTTAAGAATACATATCCTTTAGAAAAATTGTTTACACACAATGTTTAATTTATTGGTTTTAGGTTTATGATGTGTTATTGTGTACTTATGTAAGCAACTAACATATTATGATTATGAGTTACCGTATCTACAATACATTTACAGTGACACATCTCTTTAATAGACAATATGATAATTTAAAAGATCACTTATCTTTACTCTACTCACTCATTGAAGAAGTTTTCAATTAGGTACTTTGGCGTGAATTTATGGGTGTTTAAAGAATTTGTGTGTTTAAATTATAAGGTCTAGGGGACATTGTCGCTTTATATAAGTATATAGAATTTATGAATTAATTTTTTTAAAACTTTTTAGAATCATTACTAAAACATAATTAAATAACCAAGATCGTAGCCTGGTTCTTAATTTAAATTTTTCGTATAATTTCTGTGTTTTAACTTTTAACATCATTGTCATGTTGTAAAAAAACCGTAAATTATTTTTAAAAAAAAAGTAAGTTGGCAAAAACCATAATTACAAATTTTTCATTTTTCATGCATCACCAGCAGTATGATTGAATTGTTGTAGAAATATTATCGACATAACATAAATGTATATAATATATAATACAAATTGAAATTCGTATAAATTAGTTTTTATTTGTCTTGAAAAAATAATTGTATGGAGAAAAAATAAATAAAATCTATTGACTTCTACCTTCTAATAATAACCTTCATCTAAGTCGAGTATATAACTATAACTAATATAAACTGAAACAATAGGTCATGATACTGGGGTATATAATAGGTGCCCGAATAGTTATGTATAAATATATATGATATGGTATTATAATATAGTATAAGATACTCTTGTAAAAACTTACCAACTGTCAACAAGTGAACAAAACGCAGGTGTAAAAAACTGAATGGTGCCTATACTGGTAAAATTCGGAGCATCTTGATGAGCAGGTATTTGGTAGGTGAATATATAAATTATGACGGATTACACGAAGGCGGAGACGACTTTGGCTGCAGCCGCCGTGGTTTTGGCGCGTAAATGAAATCGAACGCCGTCGTCGATCATTTCCAGCCGACGACGGTATAATAATATGGTATAGTCGCGGTTAACGGACGTGAAGTAATTACAACAACACTGTTATTATAGTTGTTACAACAACAATAATAGCAACAATGTCGTCGTCGCGACGAGCGTCGATCGCGCGTCCGGAATAAAGGCGCCACGGTGTTGACGGTGCGTATATTATCGTCTACTCGCCGCCTGCACGCGGAGTCGTCGTAGTCGAGTCGGCGGCGTTTTAGTTATTGCGTGGGGGTGGCGACAATAACGGCGCAACAGCAGAAACCAGAGGCGGTTCGATTATGCGTGTGTGAGTGTGGGTGTTTGGGTGTGTGTTGTGTGTGTGTGTGTGTGTATTTCATCCTCCACCCTGCAACGATATCGATGTGACGGGGGAGGGGTGAACCTATGGGGCTGAGGGGGAAAAATAAGAAGAAAAAAAGACTCGCGAGCGCACGCACGAAGAGACGATATTATTATTATTATTATTATTATTATTATTAATGCGAGAGAGAAGGGTAAAAGCCAAAATCGCGCATCGACCCCCGGCACGACAACGGCTGCGAGTTTTGTTTTCTTGTTTACATCGTCGTCGTCTATATAACTACCTATATATATGCTAAGCTCTGCAGCGCACGTGCACCCTCACCCCCTCATCATCGTGTACACTGCAGACCGGAAATATCTTCGTAAGCGGCTAAAACGAGCGCGGAGGCGGCGACCTCTTCCGGTCTCCCGCCCGATCGCGCGGAAGAAGACGGCGGTGGCGGAAATAATCAATTACGCGACGACGACGGCGGCGGCGGCGGCAGCAGTGGCCGGGCGATGGACGCGTGCGCGCGGGAACCACGGAGAAGGCGTGGCCGCGGCCGCTGGGCGGGACTCGCCACCATCGTCATCGTCGGCCCCTTCACAGACTTCCGACGTTCGTCGTCGAGCTCGCACGCACGTACAGAAGCACAGCCCCTCCACCCCACCACTATCACGGGTTGCGGCGTAATCAGCTTCGCCGTCGACGTTTGCTGTCTGCTCTTCGCCGTATTTAGACGCAGAGCCGCCGCGATATTGTGATCATCGCAGAACAGGGAATGCGAAATTTCACTGTCCAATGTTTTTTTCACATTGAATACACCCGCGCTTATAATAATAATTTATATTATGTGATAGTATAAAGTATATAAAGCAGCACAACAATAAACCTCCTACATCCGCAGTCGTATACAGGCGTATTATTATTATTGTTTTCGAAATAAAACGTTCAGTGCATATGACTATATGAAGTACTGAGGTATAATAATAATTACAATATAGTATCCTCCAGGGTGATGCTGCACATTCAATATATTTTTTCTATACAATGTATACACATCCTACACTTTATTACAGCTATGAACAAAAACGGGACAATATAAATTATTATATACGTATAAGCAATAAGACTTCGATTGTGTGCCTACAGTAATATATACTATACATATTTTTAATTTATATGTTACGTATATTACATTGAGCCATAAGGTTCTATGTAACTTATAGATATAGTATATTATTTTGTGCAGATAATCAGTGCGCTAAGAGTTTAGATTTCGAATCTATATCATTAAATAACTTAAGTACCATAATACTATATTTTAATCATGTGATTATATTATAATTTATTATAGACTTCAGATGCTGATTGAACACAGTACTTAGCGTATAGCCGCATTGCAGCATTCAACTATAAAATATTCTTTACTCAAAATATATTCATCATCATTGCAGGGTAAGCTAATATAGGTTAAATTTAGCATTTCTTAACTTACGTTTATGTTAGCATGAGACCATTTGAGATTTTTACAGCTAAAAGTTCTTGAAGAAAAATGGCCATATCATTTTGTACAACTAATAATATTGCTCACTTGCGGTTCTATCGCTTCATCCTGAATTCAAAGTTGGATCAATTAATATATTGTATACACATGCATACTAGGTAATCGATATCAATAGTATAATAGTTGCTATACAATACGATTTTAAATGTGAATATAATAAAATTATTACCTGTATTAAAATGGAACTAGAAAAGAACAAGAATGCGTATCACACAATTTATTGAATACGGTAAAATGTTGGTATAGTTTTTACTATGGTGACAAAAATGCAGCAAAATGGACACCAAGATAAATATTCGTTTATTTTGTTACAATGAATATTATAATTGAATGCTGTATATTTTAATTATTATTTTTTTCTTTATATATTATTTTATTAAGCATGATTATACCTCGAGAACGCCAAACGACTACAACACTTATAACATAATTTATAAGTTATAAGTATATATTTATCTTCACTGTCTACATACGCTGTATGTGTATATTTATTGTTTGAAGTATATAAATATGTATTAAACTGCAGTGCAGGTTAAGCTTAATACATTTACTTTACCAACAGCCTACAGCAGGTGGTGTATTTTAATATCAGATGAACACTCAGTACAAATTTTGAATGAGCTTATTAAATAATATTATGCGTGATGAAAATATGAGCCAGCCACAGAGGCCTACGCATCAGATCCTTCGTATACCCAACACTACATAAACAAAGGTTGACATGTAATGAAAATAATTAGTTATAAGAAAGTTATGTTAAAAAATAATAATTAATAAATAATATAGGTATACTTAACTCTAAATTTTAAGATAATATGGAGAAAAATATTAACTCACTCAAAAGAAAATAAAGAAAGAAGTAATTAACCAAATGTTTTAAATTATCTTCTCATCTAAAAGTACAAATAGTACAAATTTCAATTTTTTTTAAAAGTATAGCTAAATATTTTATTAAAAGTGCATCTTATATACATTCCTACTAAGTACCTATGACCTAACGTAACCTATAATTTCTAATTGAATGATCTTATTATGTTGTCTCAAAATAATTGTAATTTAAAATTGTTTATACTCGTAATACAAATAATTAATAATATTATTTTACCACTCAAACTATCAAATGACCTAGGTAGTATCTTAGTTTGTCGCTCGTGGTTATTGAACCTGACATTTTTATTTCAGTATTATAAACTAAAAGAAAGTGGGTCTCGGTTTCTTTAATATAACATAGGTGTTAGTATTCCTTTGTATTGAGTAATTAGGTAACTCTATAAATTATAAATAGAGTGTTGGTTTTTAAGCGAAAACATATTTTTATTGGATATTTGTACAACTATATTATACATGGATTTCGTGCAGGATATATATTATAATATTATATGTTAATAATAACTATTCTTTTAATTTTCAAGTGTTTTTGCAAACTAAAAGTTACCTGCGTTAGCATTACTTCTCCATCTGTCACATCGTGTACCTATTGTAAATCAATCACTAGGTACAATAAATAATAATAGTATACTATGCAGTATTGGACTTTCCATACTAGATATTTACAACTTTTAGTTAAAGTTTTATTCAAACAATTACATGTATCAAAAGTTAATATTCATGATTGGTTACATCGAGGGAAGGGTTGTCACGCCACTTTTTCTCCAGCCGACCAGAGTTCACCACCATTGAGTCTCGTTCTGTTTCCCGCATTAGATCTGCAGTGATCATCGTCGTATGTGTAGTTCCGAAAGTAGGAGAAAGGTTGGTTGGTAGCACGTTCAATTTTCGAATTTTTGTGAGAATTTAAGCATCATATTTTGGCTATTTTAAGAGAATATAGAGGAATAGGAGAATATAAGAGTATCTAATAGTAGTGAACTAAGCGTAGTCATAAGTTTTATGTAACAAGTTAAGTATATAGTGACAACAGCACCTTAAAAAATATTAAAAAATATGATTATCGAACAATATATTAGTATTCAATCTATAATACCTAATACAGTCATACTGTTAGCTCAGCTTAGATTAGTGGACTGTATTGTGTAAATAAATGGTAACAACTGTATTTCTGATTTTGCCTTGAGCGGTGGACTGCTATTTTTAAAAATTCAAAAACAAAACAAATTTAAGTACAAGTAAAGGGGTACACAGGGACTGGTCAATCTGAATAAAATTAACACAACAAAATTATAATAAAGTTTTAGAACAAAGACGTACGCAGACAATGCCGGTGGTAACGCGTTGACCTCGGTGACGGGTAGGATGGTGACTTCGACAGTGATGGGTAGGACGGTGACTTCGACGATGACGGGTTTTACGAGACACAACGCACAATAAAAAACATGGGATAAAAGCAACTAACACCAACGACAATATTCACGTCGCGTGACACTGGCAACTGCTAGGTGCGGCACGAAAAAACTGATCCGGTTACCGAGAGTAATAAGGTAGGCGGCACTTGCTTATCGCAGTGTTGGTGTTGCTACCAAACACATACCTATTCTGACTACGACTTGCGTACCTAACAATATATTATTTAATTTTAACTTAACTATATTTGATTGTTTCTTACGAGTGGGCACCATAACGTAGTTTTGGTATTATCATTGATGACGTATGCGTTGCCATAATATGAACACAATTAACACGGTTGATGCAATTTGACACCTATAATTATAAAAGAAAATAAAGAATAGCGATTTAAAGCGTTATAATACACTTAGTTGATATGTATGGATCTTGTGATTTTTATAACTGATTAAAAATGAACGAGGGTCGCAAACACAAGCCATAGGTACCTACTCATTTTATATAATAATATAGATAGGTACCACTGCATCAGCAGCGTATGTTATATCTGAACGGCTCACTGTTTGCACTCGGTGATCAAAGTGTAGACGACTATGATAGTAAATAATAATAATACTATATCGGGTGACGGTGGTGTATATTATATATATATATTATTTACGCACAATGGACCGGCAAAGGCGGCAAAAGTCCTCGAAAATCACGCCGATGGTAAAAAGAGATTGTTATATAAGCTCGTGTAATAAACAACATGCTCGAGTGTTAGGAAAAAAAAATAGAAAACAGAATAGCGTATATATACGCGCGATGATCATAATCATCGGACGACACGTATATAGTGTCTCTGTAGGTTTCCCCCTTCTATCGTTTCCTTGCCTAGTATGCATGTATATACATGTACAATAGTATAGAGTACCTATACGCTCGGCTGCTGTGTATAATATCGTACAACATAATATGCAACACCCTATCTGCGCGTATATCCGGTGCAACGCTAGGCCTTTGACCAGATGTCGCTCGACAAGCAATATAATA